TAGTTGTCTTGTTTCTTGGAGTTGCAAAGGTGAGGTATTAAATATCTTCCCTCTCATGCTAATAATGATCAATTAAGGATTTCTAGTGGTAGAGCATGTCATTTTATGGATGATTTCATGACTTATTGGTGAGATTGATGGATTTTTCTTTTGTTCATGAATTTTTCTGATTTCATATGATTGTTATGGTGTGGCTATGTATGATGATTGGAAATGATCTAGAATGAAGATAGAAGGTGGAAAAAGTGGTTAATTGCTGGAAATTTCTGTTTGGGGAGGAAAATTGGAAAACTAGGGTTTATGTTCCTACATTCTACCCGATTTTGTAGCTCATAGTTAGAGGCCGAATTGGCCTTGGGTTAAAACATGAAAGTTGTAGGGAATGATATTTTAGAGGTTCCTGAAAAATTTCAGGTCAATCGGAGCAGCCTAGCTTGAGAAAAGATGGAATTAACCTTGATGCCCTGGTTTTACCCGAATTTGGGAATTGCTTCTGTAATTGGTTATTTTGGTTAGGAATGCTTCCGAATTGGTTGTTGAGGTCTTCTGATGAAATGTATCCCTATTTCTTAGCTTTTAGATGGCTTTAGAATTTCTGGATTTGGACTTAGGTAGGCTGATTTATGATGTTTGCACTAGAATGCGTTCTGTGAATCTGTTTTTACAGTTCTGGGGTAGTATCTTGCATTTTTGACCTGGTTACACTCGAAACTGGGCTGAGTGACCTTCTACAATATTGTAACCCTATCTCTTAGCTTCAAAATAGTGGGTCTTGCACTTTCATCCGATAATCGTAGTGCCATTGGTACCAAAATCGCAAAATGACGTCAAAAACTGTTTTTTTCGGGTTAACGCTTAACTCCATTTCCGGATTTTTCTGATTTCCTCTAATGTTTATGTATGCTTATGGAGCCCTATTTTGGTGGTATTTGGAATTGGTTTATGACTTGTCATTGAGTCTTATTATGCTTATTTGAATATTTTAGGGCTTGACTTTCATTTTCGGACTTTTCCCTAGCTTGAATGGTACTTGTACTACTTGGAACTTACTAAACGGCTAGTGAATGAACTTATGTTGTGTGTGACTTTGGGACTGGTTGAGAAAAATAATGAAGCCATGACGGCTGGAAAAGTAAGCAAATTTAGGGGAAATGCTGTCCAATTTTCTAGGCCGTTTGGTTCCTTTAAGTTTGAATTGCCTTTTGGTAGAAATGAAGGGCGTTTGGGTTGTTTGAACCTAGGTTTTCATGTTACCTTTCCGTTTCCAAAAAATCATGTTTTGCACCCTTGCATTAATAATTATTTGGCGAGGCATACGACTGGTAGTCGAGCCTCACATGTGCATTCTGTATACTTGATTTTTGAAAGTAGAACCTTCAATTGTTTTCCTTGGATTATTTTAGGGTTTCTTGGTGATTAAAACTCTCTTTTGGGAGGTATCTGTACTGACCCCGATGAGTATTCCACTACCTGCTACCCGTTATGTGAAATATCTGAATATCTGAAATACTTGATTTATGACTGTTGGAGCCAAATACTGTTTTGATAAAAATGGAGGCGAGAGTGTATTTTATCACACTCGTTCTTTTGTCTGTTCATATGCCAATTTTGAGTGTGTATCTGAATCTGCTATCTGTATCTGGTATCTGTATCTGTATCTGTTCTGACGTCGTTTGGAAGCTTGTATCCAACGACCTTTCTGTGACCTCTGAGCTCAACACCTGTGGCCAATTACTCGAGTCGGGCCGGCAAGGGCCTGGTCGATTAGATAACGAACCACGGTAGTCTATTTTGGGATTTTTGGGTATTGAGACCCTCGATTCCGGTATACTCGAATATTATCATTTCTGATCTGATTGGATTTCGGGTCCGGTAGGGGTATGTGAGGTGGAAGGAATCGGGGAAAGTGGAGTCTACGGTATTGGTTACTCCTTTAGCGTTGACGGAGTGTCAACTATTATTTCGATCAAGCTTCGGTGACGCAAATGGGAATTTGGTTCTTGAGAGCCACCTGTATCCTTCCTATTTGAATCATTGGTTCCTTTGCTTTACATCTGACATGTGTACCTGATTTGTTAAATGTGAAATGCCATGATTTTACTGCTATATGTCTGGTACCTCATTGAGCGCAAGCTCACCCCTTTCTGTTCCTTTTGTTTTCCTTATAGGAAAATAAATACTTTTGGACTGGATTTGATAGTTGGTTGCCGAATTGAGCTAGTTGGACATATATTTTGTATAGCTCATTTATTGAAACCCTAAATGTACTTTTGGGACCGTTTCTCTTTTGACTTGGCAAACCAGACATGTATCCACTTTTGAATACTTTTGTATGCCACTTTGACTTGTAAATGCTAAATTTCAAGATGTGAATGTTTGCTTGATATTTGGTTGGGTTCTGACGGGTCGGTTACTATTCATAGCCGACTCCGGTTTCATTTTTTTTATTTTGACATTTTGACTTGTTTACACGCGTTTGTAAGTTCCGGAACGTATTAGCTCGCTCTAAACTAAACCGTTAGTCCTGGCGAGAGTTGGGCAGGCAGTCCGCTAACCCCTTTGGTTCGCCTTAGGAGAAGGTAGGGCTGTCACATTTCAGAACTTTCAAAAGTAAAATTTTCATCACAGTTAAGGAAAAAAAAAAGCGGGGAATTTCAAAATTCATAGAGTAAATAATTGTGAAAAAAAGCGGGGAATTTCAAAATTCATATAGTAAATAATTGTGAAATAATAAGACGAATCTTTTATGCACTATCTGTGTATACATTTACAGACCTAAATTCATATGCTACGAAAAAATTAATCCTAATAATATGTGCTATATAAACCACTAATCATTGTGCATATGTTACGAATCATCCATAATAATGTGCTTGTTTCATGGTCTAAAACTCTATTTGAACTTATCATTTATATCAAAAACTTATACTAAGTGTGGATTCGGGATGCAGTTGATTTGGATTCATCCCCTTCTAAAAGAATTCGTGACGGACAAATCTAAACTCCCTTACAGCATGGTTGAATCAATAATAGTCTGCATACAGTGGCCAGCAAACGATTTGACTTTGTTTTCTTCATCACTAATCCATTACCCAAGTAAACGCCTAAACGGTCAAGTGGTCTTCAAGAAGTCCCGGATTAACTTTTCAAAGTCAATACCTTACTAATGTCGCATTCAAATTCTTAATTGCAAATAGATGCTCATCGTTACAATGGTTTTCGTGATTTTGCAATGGAAATTGCGAACATAATGAGTTCACATTTTGCTCGGATAGTCATTTACTAGTCGGTGCAAAATGTTGGCCAGTGAACAAGAGAGGGCTTTTAGATTTTTTTTTTTTCTCGCTATCATATTCAAATTTACCTGATAATTGGGGGTGGGAAGGTTGAGGTGAGAGGTAAAACTATCTAGTTCTTACATTTCTTTCAGGGAAATGGAAGGGTTTCAAAGTACAATCTAGGATCTACGGTTTTATGGTATTGTCCCTATTCATTGAGTTGGAGTTGGGAGATAATTGTACAATTTTGCTAAATTTGGTCGGAATAATACCAACTGAATTAGGTTTCGGAGACAAGGTTCATAAGTTGCTGATTCTGCTTTGTAAATTTGAGGAAGCTATCCCAACCATTTAACATCTGAGGATGGGCAGTGAGACAAGAACTGGGACAAACTTTTTGATGTTGGAGACATTTTATTATTGACAAAGTCAAACAAGTAACACTGGAGCAAGCAAACTGCACAAGTATCCTCCTACCTATTACCAATGAGGCAATCACAACCGCCACGTGCTCCAGTAATAAATTGGAGTTACGAGTATTAATAGTTACACATGATTTCGCTGCCCACGACCCATGATCCACAATATACATTGGAGTATTATTTCGTCGAGAAAATTATGCAAACTACTACCACTTCGATTCGTGCTATCCATAAATTAACATTTTTAATCAAGCCGATAATGAAGTAACATTTTATTATATGAAGAGCAAAAAAGTTACTAAGTTTAAAAAAAAAAAGTGATGTTTTTGTATCAATTTCTATCACAACGTGTCATTTCAATTAAAAGCGAAGTGAAAATATTTTTCCCACCCATCAATCGAGAAAACTATTTTTTGTAGTTAAAAGCAAAGTGAAAAAAATTTTCCAGCCCATCAATTGAGAAAACTATGAATCAGCACATAGGATGTTCATAATTATATATATTCTCACGATCGCCTATTGTCTTTTCCATTACAAAAAAAAAAAAAAAAATCCTCTTTTCTTTCATATTGCCAACTTGAAAATTCAGAAGCCTTGTTGATTTTTTCATTTTTATTTTTATTTGGTGGAGAGAGTACCGACACAAGATCTTTGCTCTTTTGCCTTCGTTACCATACTGACAATTTATCCTTGTTTAAAGTAAATTTTACTGTCAATTTATCCTCTTTAGTATCAAAAGGTAAGCAACATTCGACTAGCACAAACACAATGGGAAATCACCTTTTATATTTATGACACGAACAATCCACATGGCTTCAACAGACTCATTTACTTTTTCAAATCGGCCAACACCAAAGTCTTCACATGTTTTCCTCCTGTTGCATTAAACTCCATGCAACGCGGCTGTTGGACAAGAAAGATATTCATACATATATAACCTTTTTACATGGCAGCACCAAATTTAACGAACCTCTAAACCAGCCCCACTACCTCCCTTAAATTCCTATAATATTCCCGTAAAATTTTGATACAATTTCAAGTATGCCCTCAAAATTTTAAGAAAGTGAAAAAATTATGTGATTTTTTAAATTATTTCATGAATTAATATTCTAAAAGGATACATGGATCACAAAATTTCATTTGAAATAAACTACAAAAGACTTTTCATTTTAACTAATTGATGAATATTTTTTTTGCTTAAAAAATTAGAAATAGAGCCGATAAAACATTTTAATATTACATTTGTCGCCCCTGAAAATTTTTTCTAGCTCTGCTCTGAACCACGAAACCCATGTCAAGATTTTGGCAGCTATAATTCATAAACTTCACCAAATTATACGCTCTGGAGAGTCAAATCAGCAGATTTGGAGCATTTATAGTACAAAGAGATGCCAACTTAAGAACATTATTACTACTTGGCAGATATGGAGAATATGACAGATGATAAGATGATTGACTATTGTAGCATTTATTGGGCATGTGATTGTGGATTTTCTGAAGCTGGTGCAATTAATTTCTAGCAGAGTAGTTGAGCAACATTAGAAAGAGATGCTGAACTGGTCAAAACTCCAAGAAAGGGCAACAAGCTTGATCTACAACAATTAGGGCTGCAATGGTTGCCGTATCTCTTTCACTTGCACCGATGGATGCTTTACCCTTTTTTCTGCTGGGGGACAAAACTGTCAAAAAATAACAATAATCTTGTGCATAGGTCCCTCATACACGTTCAGTTCTTCCAGATTCCGGGCCACTTTAGCGTGCTATGAGGAGCAGGGAAACACCATTTGTTGCTGATAAAAACGCGCGCAATAACTCGAGAAGGTTTTCATCTTCAAAATACATCATGCATGAGTGGAATCCAACTTTGCATACACTGGATGCAGACACAGAAATGAAATCAGAAGGCCTTTTCCTCGTCTCCTCTTGAAGTTGAAAAAAGAATAATACATCTAAGCATAAAATCAAACGAAGTTACTGCAGAATTTAAGCTACTTGATCAGCAGAATACCAACTTTAACTTCTATTTAACAGAAAGTAGTCAGACGAAAGGGAAATATTGCAGCTACTAGTTTTGTTTAAGCCCCAACATTCAGCAGCATTAGCTAATATACGATTCATGTCTCGATAAGATAAGCCACCAGCTTTGACGGACAGACAAGTTAATTAATTAATAACCAAAAAGATTGATCACAGAATAAGCCAAGCCTTTCCTGGAACTCAAAATGAATCCAATCCCTGCTGAGTGTAAGGAGCCCTCGCACAAGCGTGAATTGTGGTAAGCAATGCTTCATGAGCAAACACTGTCAAGAAGGAAATACAGATTGCATATCGCAGCATGGTGATTAAGCATTCCTAATCGTTTACAGTAATCACAACAACATCTGAAATTCTAAGTTGTGAATGTAAATGTACCTATCCTTGACTTGAGCTCTTATCTTGGAAAAAAGATAGTCAACAGGTAGAATTGATAATACAATAGGAGTTGAACTCTTACAATTTCAAATGAGGATGTAAATTTAAAAAAAAAACACACACACACATATTCGGCTCTTTCAGTTTTTTGGAGCTGCTTTAGCATGTAGCAGGGAGCAGCGTAACATCAATTACTTGTTGCTGATCAAGACATTCGTAATACTCCAGTTAATGAACTTAAGAAAGGTTTGCATATTCAATATACATCATCCAAGAACGGAAGACAACTTCAAACAAAGTTCTGCCAATAGAAGCTATGTGTGATGCAGAAAATTTCAGCCCATGGAATTGGAATCAAAAAGACCTTCTGTCTCCTCTTGGAAGTGTTGAACATAATTCACAAGAGGTTAGAATCAAAGTTCTGGCAAAACTTAATTTGCTTCATCAGAAAATAGAACTTCAACTTCTATATCTATAAGAAAATAGTCAGCCAAAAGGAAAATCTAGCAGCAAGTGGGGCTATTTTGAATGACTAGCAGGACCTTCTTTATGCCACTTGAGCCAAGTATAATTACAGCATTCAGCAGCATTAGGTAATATAGTTTGGTGACATGTCTCAATTAGATAAAGTATCAGCTTTAAAGAACAGCTTGACTAATACTGACACCAAATAGACAGCAGCTCAAAATCATTTCTTTATTGTTATTTAGAATGCTTGCAGTGCTTTGCCGGAAAAGATGCATCAGCTACTTATGAGCTCAAAGTCTATCCAGATATTAATTTAGTAAACAGGGGTCACGTAGAAAAAGATGATAGTCTAGGGACTGAATTATCAAATTGAAGTTCAAGATGAAAAGTATTGCAAGTATAATAATGCGAGGATGCAAAATGGAATCAGTCTTTTCTAATTCAATTTTCTTTTCTCATTTTACTCTCAGATTTGCACTCTGGAAGTTCTCATTCAGCTCTAGTCATGTATAAAATTAACTTAAAAATAGAAAGAATACATGGATAGAAAATGATGAAACTTTCAAAGCATGAAACTTTTCACATCTCTATGATTCTTAATGTAACATAACCAGAGTCTAAGGTTGAAGGTGAGGGCCTTTAGCTATGAGGAACCAGTTTGTAGGACAACTCCGGTCAATGTGAATATGTAATCTGTCCAAATTTGTTGATACTACATTTAAAAGAACAATAAGATAGATAGATGCCATTTAGAGTCCTATAAGAAAATCATGATTGAACTTTTTTTGAAAAGAAAGAAGTCACACATATTACTATACTGGAAACAGGTTCTCATACCAATATTATAGCATAGACATCTTATTAAGAGAAAGCTGTAATTTCAGAGATGCATCACATAATGTTAAGTTTCAAATACACACAACCCATAGCAAATCAAGAGCAAAATTGCAACTGACTTCCACTTACAAGAAACAAGCAGGATGTGATATGATTCTCATGCGAAGAAAAGCGCACATACACAAAGAAACCCGAAAGAGAGGAGCTTATAGCCATATAAAATGGTAGCAGACCAAAAGATGCATATCACTGACCAATTTGACACAAACTGATACAATCATTATGTGAAATTCATCAAACTAGCTCAGCAGGTAAACTACATTAAAGTACGCCAGGCATTTTTTCTGAGTCATTATATTCAGGATACAGACTCTTTAGGCTATTGTTTACCATATTGGAGGGACAATGATCTGTTTGTGAAAGATAAGGTTTAAATCCTTTTTCATCAGAAGACCTCACATTATTGCATATCTTAATGTCGTTTGACATATCTTGACACCCATAACACTCCTAACATAATATTCTAGCAAAGCAAAACCTATTGGTCATAAAAACAGCATGATAATCATCCAATTCTGTATCTGCAATAATTTAGTTGCTATTTGTTTCTTAATACAATTTATAAGCATTTGAGAAATAGATACATTCTCTTTGCAATCTCTTAACAAGATATTCTCAATGAAAATGGATCTGACATATGATACCAATATCCAACACTTTGAATTGAAATCTTAAATTATGATTAGCTGAGAGAATTCAGACTATGACTAGCTGACCAACATCCCGTTCATGCCCTTGCACAAAATCATGTCAGAGTTCTAAGAGAATGCACTGCACATCACTGTACCAAATTATTGACCTCTGTCAATCTCCCCACCCTTTGAAACAAGACATACAGACAGAAGGCCATATTACCCAGCAACTAAGTCTTTATCAATGTCCCAGACAAAACAAGAGGAAAAGAATAGTCCAATATGTTCCTTTAACATTTCTACACGAACAAAATAAATTGAAGAGATAAGAAAACACAAGTTTGCAATTGTCACAGTGAATTCTGAGATTCAGTCCATTAGAAGATTAATATCCCCCAATGCTAAACGAGAAAGGTGCCCAACCCCATATTGTTTCTCATCATAGCTTATCCCTACCTATACATTAACTTTTAGAAGATAAATTTACTGACTTGATTAAGATAATTTAGGCAAGTCAAAGGTAAAAACAAACTAAGTTAAAATGGCTGACTGAGGCTAGCAAAAGAAAGGGTTAGACTAAACATTATTAGGAGTGGTTTAACTAAAACAGATTCAAGATTTATAACTATACAGGAAGTATTACACTAAATAGAGCCAAATGGAAGAACTGAACTCATCTAGAAGAAAGATTAAAGCTTGAAAGATTACTGTGGTGGAACTCAATTTGGGTTAATTTAACATGATATTGTTCATGTTCTCACCGCTTAGATCACCATTCAGTAGGTACCTAAGTAACAAATTCAAGCAACAATACAGAACATAAGGCCATGCAGTTTCCAGTTAGCAAGGTTTTCATTGAAATGCCTCCCTAGAAAGCCAGTTTCACACAACCTAGAGCCATTCGGCTTTCTGTACCATTTAATCTTTCACTTGACAAGCAAATTGGAACAAAGGAAAATTTAACTTCTCTATAGTGAAAAAGAGAAAGTAACATAACTCCAAGTTTACCCTCGGTGATAAGAAGACTACTTACAAAACTAGGCAAACACAAAGAGGTTGTCTATGCCACATGATTTGTGGCTTTTTGTTCCACTTCTAAAATTAGTTCAGAATTCTGCTTTTTACCTTATCTCCTTGAGCCATTCTGACATCATTGGATGCAGAAATGTGTTTTTCCCATTTATTGTACCAGTTCAGTAAGGAATTTCCAAATTGTCCTTCGCCTTTCTTGTTTGTGAAATGTTGGAGCTTTCTTCCTTTGCTATTTTCTGAAAGTTGCCCACTGTACTAATTTCATCCTATAAGCAAGAGTATACTCCATCCCCTGCCTTGGGAAGCTATTGGCACAGTTTAAAAGCTCCAAGTAAGAGATACACCTATTGTATAAATGGTTTCTGTGATTGAGCTCTATGGAAGCCATCTTTAGCTGCACACATCCCAGATTAATACTTATTTCTAGAAATCTACAATTCCCTCCGAAATGTTATGTGACTATTTCATGAAATAGGATAAGGAGTTGCATACTTCCAATATATCATTCCTAGAAGACAAACCTTCCTTCAGAGTGGATGATGCCAGTAAAATTGCTGCCCTTAAATTCGGCATAAACATTTCAGAAGAACTCAGAACTTCAAATTCGATCAAAACCATGAGTGAAGTGCCCCAAATATCAGATGCAAAACTTATAGTCATGTTCCATGAAGCTCCAAAATTGGATTCCCTTTTTTGCTCCTTTATGTTTTTCATAAACTTAACAACTTCTGCTTGAATGATAAGGGCAAGAATATAAAGAAACTGATTCATTAGGGCACGTAAATCGACTTGATCAACGTTATCTACTCCATGAAACAGCTTGGAATTTATACTCATAATCTGCTGATAACATTCTCATAACTGTGAAAATACAAAAGCTCAAGCATAATCTTAAAACTCAAGTAGATCATTTCATTTACTCCAAGCTTTTTGTAGAAGTCTTAATAACAACCAAAACTGCTTTTTGATAACATTTTGAAGTGACTACAGGATAGACATACACAAGCAAAAGGTGTCTTCAAACCCTGAATTGTTCTCCCATAAACTCACAAACATGAGATGATCACAAGTCAGTTCTGCTAAATGTCGAGGCAGTATACTGTGCAGCCATGTCCTTCAGAACTTGGATCAAGCCCTTCAAGTCATTCGTACCTAACTCAAGACAGTCCCTTAACAAGTCACCCTCCACCACCTCTTTCTGCATTGTCTCAACAACTTCCCTAAAGGGTCCCTGCGCCATACCCATTAAAAACCTTTAAAAAAATCATCTTTACATGGAAAAACAGTGCTTTATTTTATATTTCTAATCACTTCCATCTGTAAGCTGCTTACCATGTTCCAGAAACTTGTACTTAAACTAGAAAATAATAAAAGAAAGAGAACTTCATCCAAAAATAAATTCACTGAACTTATTCATTCAACTTGATATTTAAACAATCCATTATTCCCATAATCACTGCAATGAAACATCTTTTAACACTAAGCACTAATTCTGTTAATTTTTGTCTATTTTACAAACTTTACAAGCTCGATTTTAATGCTTTTCTTTGAACATATGGCTATTTTCTACAATACTTTAGCTCATTCATCAACTAAAATCTTTCAAAACTTAGCTGAAGAGACCTTACCATGTCACATAATAGCCATACAAGAAAGTTTAACGAAAATGGCACGCTTTAATCTCTAATTCATAAAAAGAGCATAATTTTGGGCTCATTGTTATAAAATAGTAATTTGTACTCACTTTTCTACAAAATTTACACTCTTTATTTACATTTAACAATTTGTAGACATGTCCAAAATTATGCTTTTTTAACTAAGCATCGCATCCCCCCCCCCCCAAAAAAACACACATATCAATGCCAGGAGAAAATTTTTATTAGGTTTAAATTGCAGAAGTTGGGGAAATAATAACTCAAAAAAATAGAGAAAAAAAGCATTACCGATTGTCGAAATATTTTGAGGAGTTTATCAAACAGCGACCTGGAAACGGTGAAGACTCTATTATAGTTTCGGCCGACCCAGGCGACTCGCTCGGAATCAGAGCCGACTCGGGACAACTCGTTGAGCTCCCTGAGCAACTCGTTAAGGTCGGAAACGGCAAAGGAGAGGTCAGTTAATGAGACCGTATTGATATCCCGCCAGGCGTAATTTTTAAGATAGTCCGAACCGAGGTTCCAAGTGAACTTGCAGAGGCCTCGTCCCTGAACTGACTCGATTTTGTGCGCTATAGTTCGGGCACGGGCTGAGCCCGTGAAGTCGCCTCGTGAGGCACGGAGGTTGGCAACTCGCATAGCGAGCGAGTGGGATAGGGAAAGGAGAGTGCCGTAGTTGGAGAGAGGGAAGGAGAGGGAAAAAGTGGGTGATGGTGCGAAGAGGAGGAAGAAGAAGAGGAGGAGAGAGAAGAGTTTGTTTTTCATGAGAAAAGTAAGCATTGACTGAGAGAGAAGAGCAGCGCCGCTTTCCACGGTGGCGGTGCTGGAGGACCGGCGGTGGTTCGGATTCTTGGAGAATGGCGGGGAACAGAGGCTCCGTGTAATTATATCAAACGACTGAATAATTATTAGTAAATAATTAGTTTGTTTGAATATAGTATTATTTGGAATAATTACAGTAGAATATTTCGTTTGCATCGTAAATATATTTTTCAACCCATATTTTTATATTTTCAATCGCCTTTTTTTATCTCACATTCTACTTGCATCATAAACACATTTTTCAACCCATATTTTTATATTTTCAATCACCTTTTTATCTCATATACATCACATCATAAAAAATACTACAATAATTATTCCAAATAATATTAATCCCTCCGTCCTATTGAAAGTATCTTATTTTCCATTTTGTGATGTTTCAAAATATTTATCCTATTGAGAAAATCAAGATATCTTTTAGTCTCTTTTTCTAATATAGTCTTTCTCTATATACATATACGTGTTACTATTCAAATTCAAATTTTGAATTTGTGTGGATAAAATTGGAAAGAAAAACACAAATATCACAATCAAATCACTATTTTTTAAAAGTTGAATTTTCGAAATATGATTAAATAATTGGGACGAAGGAAGTAATAAATAAGACATGCTCTGATTAGAACATAGGCTCCGTGAATAACTAGAGCATTAATTAACTATTAGTAAATAATTAACAAAATAACTGTTGAGAATTTCTTTAATGGTGAACAGCGACATATAATTATAAAATAACGCCAATTGATATATCAAATGGCGCTATTTTGTGATCGATAAAACTTGATAATGACAAGAAATTAGTTGTATACAATATCAGAAGAAAACTTTGGTAGAATTCATGTGGAAATTTTCTTTGAAACACTTGAACTGTAGTAATTGTAAAGTAATTTCGTGAAAATAAAGAATAAATGAGGGAAAAGAAAAGCAAATTTTGAATTTTTTTTAAATTCAAAATCACAAAAATCGTAGCAAAACTTATATTAAGAGAAATGACTGAATTTGGCGATTATTAGTGTAGTTTTGTTGCTTATTTATGTTGTATAATGTATTAAATGTGAACTTTTTGAATAGTGCAATATATGTGTTAATTGTTTCTGACTTTTAATTACTTTCATTCTTTTACTAATATAACTTATATACATGCATAAGAAGCATTTATGGAAAAAAAGTTTCATTTTTTCCCATAAAGTACACTTTTAGTTTTACTTGGACTAATGCTGTTACCAAAACCCTAATTTCAGAGGAGGTTTGTGTAATTTTGCAAACTTTAGGGGAAGGTTAGTGAAATTGTCAGAAACCTCAGGGAAGGTTTCTAAAATTATCTCTTAATATTTTTTGTCATGATAATTGGTACAAAACTTTTCAAGAAAAGAAAAAAAAAATTAAAGGCAAACAAATGAAAGATTGAATGTAGATGTTGATGAAACTTTGAAAATAAATAGTTTTAGTTGAAATAGTTCTTTCTTTGAATCTACAGTATTGCATTCAACATCTTGAATATTAATTTTGTTATTTAAAAATTAAAATTGAATTATATTTATGTAATTTTTAACTATATATTTTCAAAATATTTTTATTTTAGTTATTATTCACTATATGTTCAGAAAAATATCCACATATATCTATTAGATATTTAGACTCATGAAGGTCTAGGTCTAGGTCTGGATCTACTTTTTTTAAATTCCATAAGTGTTTGAGTATGGATTTGGATACTTATATCCTAGTTATATTTATTTGGAAACTGGGGACTAGGAAGGAACATGAAGTTATGTTTACGAGACTGAAGGCCTAACTCATTGATGGAGACTAGGAACGACTTTGTACATTGATGGATAATTTGGTTATCATCTCGTGTCATCTCATCAAATTATTAAAGACTCAATTTAATTAGATTCACGTCACCGTAATAACTTTTCTGATTCTGTAGTTAATAGTACATGACTAGAGTAATAAAGAATTTTACTAGTTACACTCGCCCTCATTTAGTGCTGTATCGAAACTAGCATGAGAATTTATTCATTCACCTGCAGACTTGTTTAGACTTCAAAACGTTTGAAGGCCTAGAAAGTAAAGCAGCATGCATAGGACAGCAGACCATAACATTTTCAAGCAAGGGGCTCGAACTCCAAAGGGGATTGGGACAATTCGAGCAAATGGCCAGGGTCCGTTGGTTAAGTGCCAGTCTCATTCATTCGTTCATGCATTCAATTGTTCATGTGATTTGGAGTAAAGGCAAGGCAGAAAAAGTGGCAGGGGTAAAGATGAGATGACATTGACAGCAACACTACACTCTGTTTTTCCATTCCTACCACTTCCGGAGACTCTTGCTAGGACTGTCAATGGGTTGGATCAGTCTGAATTCGGCTCATTCGCCCGATAAAAAATCTGATGAGCCCGATCTTTTAGTGAGTCGATCTGAGTTTGAACCTAAAAATTAGGTTCGAATTAATATGAGTCGAGTTTGGGACTTATTACGCTCAAACCCGATATAAATCTGGCCCTTTAAATACTTATATATATAATATTTATATTTTGATATTATGTATAATTATATATCCAAATATATTATTACTAAATACTAAATATATATAAATTACAAATACAAAAATACATCTAAAAACTCTTCCATGAGCTTTCTTGAGAGCTAATACTAGTAATGCATAACTGAATCTCTAACTTTTCTTATTGGTTGAGTAAATTTTTGTGTTGGCATAATATTGGTTGATTTCTTTTTTGCCTACAAACACAAATCATCAAACATGTTTGGATTCAAATCACAAAATTATAAAAAAAAAAAAAAAAAGTTTCAATTTTTAAAGATGTATTGGTTTATAATCACATGTTTTATTATTATTTTTCATGCATTTTAAACGAATTAAATATAAATATTGTTGAAAACTTTTTGGTTTATATACATTTTAAGAACTATTATTTGTTCATGTTTAATTTTAATATTATAGTCTTGTAAATGTTAAATTAGTTTTACAACTTGATAGTTATAGTAATTATATTAAGAAAATTAAGGAGTAATAAGTGAGTTTGAGCTAAACCCGATTAACGCTCACAACACGAATATTATGTGAGTTGAGTATGAGATTCATATTTATGAACCCGAAACTCATAGATCGAAACCCGAAAATGTTTCAAATTAAATGAGTTGAACTTGAACTTATGAAAGCCCGGATTATTAGACCCGATTGACAGACCTAGACTCTGCACACCCATGCATATGCGCTTCTTTATCAGTACCACATGCATATGCGCTCTTCCTTTTTTTTCTTTTAGGTTCCTTGGTCTTCGTTGATACTTTTTCTCTTTTCTCTTTTTGCCTTTGTTTTTGGTCAGTACAATTTGTTTTCGTGTTCATGAAACAAGAGCATGAACTTAGAATGTTTTGAATACAAGTTAACTCAATTGATAAGAATGGTTCATTTCTTTATAAAAAGTCATATGTTCAAATCATGTTATCGATGTGAAAAGTGTATTGAAAGTGATTTATATAAATCTCGAGAAGCGGTCTATAGTAACTAATGTTGCATCTACCTAAATTTTTTTTCTATCAAAAAAAAAAGAATATGAAATGTCCAAAATAGCAAGGACCAGTACTTAGAGAAATCTTAAACAGTTGCCCTTGCTTTTACTCATAAAGGCATCCTTTTACACGGTGAAGTTGTCTATTCTCCATTTCCTTTCTAACGAAGCAAGTATAAAAATTTCTAGCTGGCTACCGGGCTGACATTCAAAAAAAAAAAATCCAAGCAGGCTGCTGGGCTGTCAACTCGACCGCCTTTCATAGAAATTCCCAACTAGCTGTCGGGTTACTCAGCCGAGCAGCCCAATATTTTAAAAAAAAAATTTACCTTGCCTGCGAGGCTGCCTGTAATTTTTTTTTCAGCAATAAACAAAGGAATTAGCCTCATTTGTTAATATTTGTATGTGATGTTAACAACGACGATAAGAAGCCTGCTCTCATATTAAAAGGTTGGCCGACTGGACTACTTACCACAAACATTGACAAAGCATAACAATCAGCTAAGTTGATCGACCAAGGAGGAAAAGACACACAGCGCAACGACATTTTCATCCTAAAATGATCGAATACATAGATAGGCCCAAGGTCGAACACTTCAAATATCAAGGATCATCATAAGGTAGAGCATCCATCCCTTGTAGTACAAGTTATATATGACACGACAACATTATACATACGTACTTAGGATCATAAGGTAGAGGGACTGTTCAAACCACCATACAGACATCTTTGATTCGCAAGATACATTCAGCATTGCAACTGACAGTGGCAGGTCAACGACTTTGATATGCTTAAAGTCAGTTGAGACTAATAATAAACCGTAGCTCGCTGCGCCTGCCTTACGATGAGGAAAAGCTCCATAGAGAAATCAGATTAATGCTGCAGTCAACAATAAAATGTATTCCTCCAAATTACTCCTGCCACTCACAATATACTACAGCCTTTTTGACCCTTTCTCTTCTTTTTCTTCTTATGCTTCGGGGGCTGCAGAACCACCTTAATGGCGGCATCAAATACACCTTTCACATTCTGCAGAGACATCCACAGCAAAATTTAGAACAAATAGAGACAATGAATTCATATATTCATAAACATATTAAAAACACACACACACACCTGTTGCGTTTTTGCACTACACTCAATGTATGAAGCAGCCCCAATCAGCTTTCTCAGCTCCTCCCCCTTCAGTGAAAGTTCAAAATGAGGTCTTTCATCAGGTAAAACAACTGAAGACTGAATTTCTATAATTCCTTCAATCAAGTGGATATACACGCCCAACCAGGTGAAAGGTAAAATTGAGATACGGAGAATTTAAGATAAGTGCTTCAGTTCTAAAATCCGTTCAACATACCTGAGCTGTGGTGATGGGCACTGCTCCTGGATGATCTACAAAAAACTGCTTATCATCCCGGAGATCTGCCAACAGATGAATTAGCAAGTTACTGAAACAGAAGGACCGACCTTAAAACATGTTCTAGCTGTATGAACCTCAAAATTTTGAGTGATTTGCAGACAGGGCAGAGTACATAGTAGCAACTAGTGACTAAAAGAATGAATGAAATGTATTCCACGATAAACTCCTGATCCGAATATCAGTAACCCCTTCATTCCTATCACCATAGGAGGCTCTGAAGTCAGTAACATTGGATAGGTTCTCCGATTGCAAAAACAAAAGGGAGACTACATCACTAGTCATAAAACACGGGGCAAAAATTTTAACCCATGAGTCTCAATGACATCAATGGAAAATCATAGTACCTAGATTGATCGCTGTACTATAATGCAAGAAGTCCCTAGGTGATAAGTTAACTAAAAGCCTCACCAGGAATTAAAAGAAAATACTTAAATTCTAATGAGAATTGACAGTAGATGCGGTATGGCAGAACCAAGTCATGTACTTTTACGAGAAACATCCTTGAAATAATACAACCATTATAAGCAAATGTTCCAAAACTAAAAGTTGATTTGAGATGTAGCCAAAGTGAATTAAGCAAGTCATTCCTCCATTAGGAAATAAAAAAACTTAATAATAATAAAGTTGTAGCATTCTTGAGCCATATCACATTAATATCAAAGGTTCAGTATATGCCTCTATATACTACATCTGGCATGAAGACTGCACCTCTCTTAACCCCGTCCAGTTCACAAACAATGAACTATACCAGCTCAGAAACAGTGTTGCCATAGGACAAAGCAGAAACTAAAACAAAAATTGCATGGAACGCGACTCACCAAGTTTTGTTCCAACAAGGATTACTGGTACTCCAGGAGCATAATGCCTCAATTCAGGAATCCACTTGAGAGTCAAAACCAGAAGAAAAGAAGAAACAAGGATAAAATCCATCAGATATGATGTCAATATAAATAACCTAATACATCAACTTGCTTGAACTCCTGCATGAAACAGTAACCTAAATTATCCTACAATGCTAAGCTCATTAATCATTTAAACCCTCGACAACCAAGAAAAAGAATAAGATATCATAAAAATCACTGCCTATATTTACTCCTGTGAATTTCCTAAGAAATATGTACCCAAAAGAAAAAATTAGCTGCAACCCAAAAATGCACTGCTAATTATGTTTAGTCAAGTAGGCTATCAGGTCATGGCAAAAATGCGTGCATCCGATTTCCTTCTAACATTTTCCAAGAAATCTAATTCAAAAGAGATTTGACAGCCAAAGGATGCAGGAAAGCAAGGATGTCAAAAGAAACCTCACCTTTTTTGAGACATTCTCGTAACTGGCCTTGCTAACAAGAGAAAATGCAAGAATAAAGACATCTGCGCCACGATAGCTCAAGGGTCTTAATCTATTGTAATCTTCCTGCCCTGTCCAACATAGTAAAAGAGTCAGAACCATGTCCAGGAGAACTTCAAAGAAAATTGAGCAAATCCCATGACACATATAATTGGCTAACCTGCAGTATCCCACAACCCTAGATTTACAGTGCTCCCATCCACTACCACATTTGCACTGAAATTGTCAAACACAGTCGGCACATAATCCTGGTGACATAGCAGGAGTAGAATTTTGTGTAAGGAAATATCCATATTGGGTTACAGAAAAAATAGATTCCTGTTTGTCCTCTGATACAATTTGGCAGAATGAAACATAAGAGCCAGTATTATTACCATGTATCCATTAAAAATTTAAGCACCTGTTTTTAGGAATTCTCTAGACCAACAAGAATGAAGCAAAGCATGCAAAAAGTCCTAGAGCTGACACTTACAAATTTGAGCCCATCCATATAGATTTCAAAGACTAAACGTTCTCAGACAACAAACCTTCCGTCCTGAAATGTTATTTGATCCCATTTTCAAGTCCCAAACAAAATCATTTCCATGTTGAAGGCAGCGGCCAACCAGTTCTACTAAAAGCATGCAAGTAATATAGCATCAGATCCAGACAATTTTTGTTGCTTGTAATCAAACCAGTACTATTCAAATTGATTTTTCTGAGCTCCTAGAGTTTTCAGTTGTATCACATTCAAATCCCGTGTTTACCGTACATTACATGCTAATGTGTAACAGGCTACCTAACAGTTTCTTAGAATGGAAATCATCCTTCATGAGCAGCCAGTGACAACCCAAATTCCACTTTTCAGTTAAACCTGCTACCATTACCTCCATCCTGACTCTTTCTTTCTCGTCAAAATTCTCAGCAAATCTATTTAAGTTGAAGTGCTAAGCCATATGGATGGCATCAGACAATGGTCTTTAGTTAACATCCACTTAGAAAATTCTCCCAAAGTCCACTTAGTTTTTTTTTTCCGCACAAAAGTCACAGCAGGAATACTAGGCAAGAAAAACACTCACGAAATGCACCTTTTCCGCAAAATTAACAAAACCACAAAATGCAAACAGAGTCATTCAAGAATATGATCGCGAAAAGAACCCGGAAAACCCAAACTCGATCAAAAATCAAGAAATGATAATCTTACTAGCCTCAATCGATAGCCATGAAACTTCAAAGAAAGTGAAAATTTCAAGATATAAACCCCACCAGTAACAGTATCAGATGGCAGTAAACCGAAAGATCCCAACTTTTCGTTTTTTCGAGAGAGAGAGAGAGAGAAGAAAGTGATAGCATGGGGCAAAAAAAGTTGAAAAGAAAATGGAGGGATTACTAACAGTGGGAAAGGTATTGCTGGTGTAGGAGATGAGGAGGCAAGTTTTACCCACAGCTCCGTCGCCGACGGTGACGCACTTAATGAACCTGGACGCGCTCATTCTCGCAGCTGGAAAGCCTCAAAATGTCAAAACTATTCCTCCGGCGGGCCAATTCTTGCTTGTTTGTTTCTTATTTTTTGATCAGCACTTGGGAGTTCCCTTCTTGAGCTCTCGCTCCACTACTTGTTCAGCTAGTTTGCCGAGTATCCAACTGCACCCCCAAAAAAAAAGGGGGGGGAAGGAATCTTTAAGAGGGGAAATCAAAGCCCTAATTCTAAAGAACACTAATCATAAATGGGACGAAACGTGTAGAGGTGGAGATTGGAAAAAAACAGAGCACCTAACTTTGCAAACGCCGAGTCAAGAATCACTATTGTGTAGCATTATCACCGATCCATCAAAATGACTGATTTTATTAAGTGAAATAAAAAAAAAAAAGAAAGGAAAAAGTTCGTTGTTATTGAAATCCATTCACCTTTGAGTTTGAGTAAAGTTTATCTTGTGGTGGTGGCAGTGGCAGCAGCGGTAGTAGTTAGCACTTAGCAGCTCCCACAGACTGACTCCTTCCCCCAGTCCCAGTCGCAGTCCACCAGGACCAGACGAGGACGGCCCTGCCCTCCCAAACCAACCCAGAAAATTAAAATACAGAGTTAAAATCAAAAAATAAAAACAGAGTTAAGAAAATGGGAGAGAGCGAGAGAGTGAATGAATGGAGGGAGGGACAGCTTGAAGCCAGCTAATATTTGGCTTGCTTTGAGAGTGAGAGTTAGAGACCACCAATCATTTGTTTGCACATACACTGATACGCATACGCATTCCGCCAGCAGGCCCAATCCCAACTTCAACGACCCCTCTTTCCTCAAATATTTTTATGCACACTTTTCCTTACCCCAAAAAGCTTCTTTAGGCTTCGTTTGGGAGTTGAGGATTTGGACAGAAAAGAAAGGGAAATAAGAGAGAGTTTTCTTTGTTTGTGAGTTTTTAGTAAAAAAGAAAAAGGAAGGATTCAGAAGGACGAATAGTAGGCAAAACTTTTCCTCCCAAATTGGATGGAAATGGAGAGACAATTTGAGGAAGCTTGTGAAATTTTTTTAAAATATCTATTTTATCCTTAAAATGGTTTTGAACAAATATTTAATTACTTCTATATCCAAAATTATTCCATTAATTCTCAAAACTCTCAAACAACATAACAATTCCTTCTCTTCTCTTCTTTCATAACTTAAAGCTTAGTTTTGGAAGTTTAGGATAAAAAAGAAAAGAAAGGAAAATTTAAATTATGAGAGAAGAGAAGAGAAAGGATTGTTATGTTGTTTGGGAGTTTTGAGAATTAGTGGAATAATTTTGGATATGGAAGTCATTAAATATTTGTTTA